AAGGGCAGTAAAAGACGATGAGAAGGCAAATTTGTTAGCTAAGACATTTGTTAAAATTCATAGTTTAGATAATGTTAGTGTAGAAGATCAAAGAGGAAGAGAAAATACATTTCTGGAATATATAGAGTTATTGGAACAGGGTGAAGATAATGATAACTTGTTAAATATTTTATTTACAAAAACAGAATTAAATCGGGTTTTACAAAAATCCAAGGTATCAGCACCAGGTAAGGATCAGATTTGTTATATTATGATAAGCCATTTTAGTGATAAAGCTAAAGAAATTTTGTTAGAATTATATAATAGAGTTTGGGAGGGTGGGATATTGCCACAAAGCTGGAAGGAAGCGGTGGTTGTACCCATAAGAAGACCAGGAGAAGATAATACCAATCCAGGAAACTACAGACCTATAGCGTTAACATCTAATATTTGTAAGATAATGGAGTGCATGATAAATGAAAGATTATTGTACTACATTGAAAGTAAAGGATACATATCTAACTATCAAAGTGGTTTTAGAAGAGGAAGGAATACAATGGATCCTGTTTTATGTTTAGAACATGAAGTGAGGAAAGCACAAATAAACAAAGAGAGTGTAGTTGTTGTCTTTTTTGATATTGAAAAAGCTTATGATATGATGTGGAGAGAAGGCCTTTTAATTAAAATCAGAAAAATGGGTATTACTGGACGAATGTTTGAATGGATCAAGAACTTTTTAATGGGAAGACAAATTCAAGTGAGAATTGGGAAGGTTTTGTCTGAAAAGTTTCCTGTGGAAAATGGTACACCGCAAGGTAGTATTGTGAGCCTGTTATTTTTTTCTCTAATGATAAATGATGTTTTTAATTGTATAAAAGATGGGAAGGGGTTTTCACTTTTTGCAGACGATGGGGCAATTTGGAAAAGAGGGAAAAATGTAGTTTATTGTAAAGAAACTTCAAGAAGCAATAGGCAAAGTGGAGGAATGGTCATACAAATGGGGTTTTAAATTCTCTGTAGATAAAACTAAGACGTTGTTCTTTACAAGGAAAAAAGTAAGAGAGGATCTTAACCCTTTGATGCATAATGGTCACTACAGTGGACAGGTACTCAAAATTGTTATTTATTTATTTTTGCTATTAAGCACAGCTGTTGAAGACTTTATTGCATTTGAGCCCCTCCATTTGGACTTCAGTAAGCCAAGCCACCATATTTCATGTTCAGAATGCACGCTGTCCACTGAGGTGGACATGTAATAAATTATTTGTAAATTAACAAAATGTTACAAAAAATATTTGTTGAAATTTGTTTCATTCACACCTAAAGATGAATAAAAAATTGTTTAAAAAATCATGGTTGAAGATTTCATAATTCATGCATCAGAGGGTTAAACTTAAATTATATAGTCAAGAGTTAGAAAGGGTAAATAAATTTAAATTCTTAGGCGTATGGTTTGATGAAAGGTTGACTTGGGGTGTTCATATTCAGAGTATAATGGATAAGAGTAAAAGGGTTCTAAATATAATGAGCTGTTTAGTTGGGTGTGAATGGGGTGCTGACAGGAAGTCTATGTAGGCCATATATAATGGTTTGATCAGATCTGTATTAGATTATGGGTGTGTAGCATATAATTCAGCAGCAAATACTACTCTTTTGAAATTAAAGTCTATCCAGAATCAGACACGGAGACTCTGTACAGGAGCATTTAAAACACCCCCTGTAGCTGCGTTACAGGTGGAGATGGGTGAGATGCCAATAGCGATCAGACGAGAACAAATAGCTTTAAATTATTGGGCGAATCTTCAGGGTCAGGAAGAAGATCATCCAACACGAGACATACTAAAACCTTGCTGGGAGAAAGAAAAGAAGGAAACAAGTTTTGGATGGGTGATGATCAAATAACCAGTAGAACTTATGTTTATGTTTATTCATTTGGCAGACGCTTTTATCCAAAGCGACGTACAACAGTTAACCTATAGGGCATGTTGTGATCTGTGGGGGAAACCGGAGTACCCGGAGGAAACCCACGCATGCATGGGGAGAACACGCAACTCCACGCAGAAAGGCCGCAGCCGAGTTTTGAACCTGCAGCCTTCGTGCTGCGAGGCAACAGTGCTAACCACTGCGCCACCATGCAGCCATGCAGCCACCATGCACCATGCAGAACTTAAGTTAGACCAGTTTATAATCGGTCAAAGAGTTCCATTACCTGCTATTCCACCATGGATTCTTCCTGAGGCGGCTGTTGATTTAACTTTGTTGGAGAGAAAAAAAATAAGGATGGGTCGTTCATACTAAACTCACATACAGCACAGGATTATATCGATCACTATTATAACTTTGTAAAAATATATACAGATGCATCAAAGAATACTGCAGATCATATTGGCATAGCTTTTATTGTTCCTGAGTTTCATGTTAGAGTAAAAAGGAGGGTGAGTGATGGATTATCAGTATACACAGGTGAAATGCTCGCAATACTGTTAGCTGTTCAATGGGTGGAAGAAAACAGACCATTATTCTCAGTTATTTGTTCAGACTCCAGCTCATCATTAACCAGTTTAAAGTGCAGCCATTCAGAAAGCAGACCAGACATACTACTAGAGATTCAGCTAACACTTTATAGAATAAGCATGATGGGACTTGTAACACATTTTTTATGGATTCCAGCTCATTGTGGAATCAGAGGTAATGAAGGAGTCGATAAGTTGGCTAAGGGAGCAACAATAAATGCATCGGTTCAGTTAGATATTCACTATTGTCAAAGAGAGATCAAGAGCATAATAAGGCAAGAAATGAAGAAGAAATGGCAAAAACAATGGGAGGGAGGAAAGGAGGGGAAGATGGTTGTATGACATTCAAAGAAGAGTGGGAGAAATGAGAAACACTGGAAGGAGTAGGAGAGAGGAGGTGATCATTGCTAGGCTAAGGTTTGGACATACTGGGTTAAATAATACATTATTCATGATAGGGAAACATAATACAGGGAAATGTGATTACTGTGGAGAAGACGAAACAATAGATCATGTTATATTACATTGTCAGAAATATCAGGCGGAAAGGAGGACAATGGTTCACACTCTTGGTCAGATGAAAGTGAAACTGGATCTTGTTGATTTATTGAGACAAAATTCAAGGAGTGACTGTTTTCAGATTTTATTTCGGTTTTTGAGAGAGACAAGGGTGTTTGGGAGACTTTGAGTTTTTTTTTTTTTTCCCTGTTTGGTTATGTTTTGAGGCTGCTCTTCCAGACCACACTCCACACTAGTTGGTGGCGGTAATGCACCATTTGTTGTTTGCCAACTGCCAATAAAACTCCAAAAGGAGAAGAAGAAACAAGGGGCATGGGTAGATGAGACCAAGGCCCTGTCCACACGTAGCCGGGGATCTGCCAAAACGTAGATATTTTTCTACGTTTTGGCCTGTCATCCACACGAAAACGGAGTTTTTTCACACGAAAACGGATCTTTTTTAAAACTCCGGCCAAAGTGAAGATCTGCGTTTTCTCCGTTTTGGGTGTTTGCGTGTGGACAGACAAAACCGGAGTTTTAAGGTCTGCAACGTCACTTTCCGCGACAAAAAAAATGCTGACTTCATGTGTGCGACCTGTGTTTACACTAGCCGACAGCATGGATGCCCTCAGAGCTGCGCTCGCTTTATCAATTTTTTTAACAGGTTTTATTAACTTGTTGTCGATACATTCAGAAAATACATTCAATATATCCATGGATCACATTTTACAGTTGTTCACAATTGCAATAACATACATGCAACATTAGGAAACTATTAAACAAAAAAACAAGAAATAAACAAAAAACTGACGAAAACATATATAACTTAGAAACATAACACTTAGGGGTCTGCTGTGTCTAAGTTGAAATGATGAAATAAGTTGATGGTCTTTGTTAGTTTATTGTTCGCTCGCTTTATCAATTGTCCAAGCGCTTTTTGCTCGTTTGTTTTTGCAAGCGGAATTACTGCTCCTTGCGGAAGGCCACAGACGAAGGACGAGGTTAATAACGGGGGAAGTACTGCCGCCTACAGGTCTGGCATGTCCTTAACAATGTATTTATCCGGGTACATGTGGACAGTTTCTTTTTAAAACGAGGTGGTGTGGATGCAAGTTTTTGGAGGGGCGGATATTCGTTTTTATAAAAACCCGGCTACGTGTGGACTAGACCCGAGAGTCAGAGTGGTCGTAGCAGATCCTGACAATAACCTGGACTTGGATCAGACACTAAAATGTGTTTTAAACTAAAACAATTAATAATCAAATAACATGACCTTCAATTAATAACATCAAAGGAAATTTTCTTCTTCATAACGTTTGCATTTTGCTAGCTCACCTCAGTATTTTCTAAAAAAAATTCCAGCTTCAAACTTTAGAAGTTCCCATTTACTTCCATATGCTTTTTCAGCTTGGGCCTCATTCCCAAAAGCTTGTATTAGTTCCTTAACCTTGGTTTTTACTACGTCATGACACAAGATAGAACTGTTGAGTTTCCAGTATGCATCATGTTGGCGTGTGGCGGAAGAAGGAAGTAAAGAAATGTTCATTTGGATGGCCTTGTGGTCAGTCAAAGGGGTCGAGAGGATGTCAACCTTAACAGATTCATCGAGATTATTTGAAACTAACCAAAAATCTATTCTTGATTGTCTGGTTCTTTACCCCAGGTAAAAATTCTGTCATGTGGGTATTTTTCCCTCCAAATATCTATTAGATCAAATCTTTGCTTTATTGATTTTAGGTGTATATTAGCATTAGATTGAGGACCTGGTGGCCACCTATCCATGGTGTTGTCCAAAGTGACATTAAAATCACCTCCTATAATTAGATAAGCATGAGGGAATGTAGCCAACCAATAACAAATTGTCTTTTCTACGATTGTAAGCAAATTGTTATCACTTGTCGAGCTATATCCATAAATGTTATCACACGGCTCTGTCAGTTTCAGTATGATCCAGCTGTATGATGCATAGATGGTGTCTGACATGACGCTTAACTGAGCTTTCTCTTCTAGGGAGTTTTAAAGATCTGATCCTGGATCTGGGAGTTAAGCTGTTACGGGAGTAAGTACAAACATTCAACTGCATTTTTCTCTTTGTTTGTTAGTGAAACTATCACCACTAGATAGATTTTATTAATCAATAATCATTTAACGTGTTTTTGTGTCCCTCTCTAGTTTCATCTACAGGTGGATTGAGCGACACATAAACAGTTTTACTGTGACCAGGGAGCAGCTGGAGGCACCAGAGCTTCATGACCCAAACCATAATAAGATCGCTCAGTGCCTACAAAAGATTGGAGATGAGCTGGATAGAAATGAACAAATAAAAAGGTAAACCACCAATCTATGTGCTTGTGTGTGTGTGTGTGTGTGTGTGTGTGTGTGTGTGTGTGTGTGTGTGTGTGTGTACGTATATTCTTTTTTAATTACAACAGTATATTGCCGTACCATAACTAATTACATGGTGTTTTCTCTAGGATTATGAAGAACCCAGAGCTCAGCTTTTCATTCAAAGATTTTTGTGACATTGTCTATGAGCTCTTTAAAGATGGAAATTTCAACTGGTACAGAGTGGCTGCACTCTTTTACTTGACCAGTAAACTGGTCATCAGAGTAAGTGACCTGCCTCTGTTATAATTAATTTTCCGTGTTATGGAAACATTCCCACATAAGAAACATCTTTTACTCAGGCACATGAAGCAGGACTGCTTGAAAAGATAAAAGCTATTATCAGCTGGGCCATCGACTACCTCCGGGAAAATCTGATCAACTGGATAAGAGAGCAAGGTGGCTGGGTACGGAAATGCTGTTTGAACAGATTTACTAGAGACTTCTGCTCGTATTTATGAAAATCAAAATAATAATATTTTTGTTATTTTTAGGAGGCCATTTACCTCAGCACTCCTACTTGGCAGGCAGTAGGGGTTTTCCTGGCTGGATTTCTAACAGCTATTTTTGTCATGCTCAGAATGTGAGTGGAGATCAAAAAGCAGACGGGGAGAACTACAGTAGAAGGAACTCCATCAAAAGAAAGGAATGGCAAAAGTGTCTTAACTGAAGTTTATTTTATGAAATAAGTTCAGCACAATCTGCCAAAAACTCACTTTATCTCCACATAGAGGACCTAGTCTTTTCAAGGCTGCATACTTCAGAGATATGTGTACATGATTCATTTTATTTTATGACATTGTAATTGGGACCTTAATGTGGCTTCCAATTAAACCTTGACCCATCAGTGATTCTTTGCTTCTTTCTGCCACATATCTACTTTGTCTATGCAGAAAAAATGTATGTTTACATTTGTTTTTTATCAGCCTTCGTGTTTTCTGAAGTCATGTGGATCTTGGGGGCTTGAAATTGGTGTCAGTTTTCCAAAATATCATTTTATTCAAATACTAATGTTCAAATATTTGACATTTTCTTCATTGTACGGGGGACATGACAATCACAAATACTGCAAAAGGATAAGTAATAATAATTTTTAACTATATAAAATGACTAACAACTAGCCATGTGTTATTTGATAAAATGCTTTCAAGTTTACAGATTAAGTAGTTATTTTATAATGTTCCTGTTCTCGTTGCTCATGTATTGTTTAGCATTTAAACTGTCTAGAAGTAACAGATCAGGGTAAATTATAATTAACTTAAATGAGACTTCATATTTCCACAAAAAAGATTTGTGTCAACTGTAATAAATTCAAGTGATACAATAGAAAACAGCACTCAAAACAAACAATGATTTTTATTAATTAATGTTTTTTATTTCTATTTTTCTATTGATTTGTAAAAATAGTTACCTTACATTTGTACTTTTTTTTATTATTTACCAAATATTTAATTGTTAAAAGGTCTGTAGAAGAAGCAAAAGCTTCCACATGTAACTTTAGGTCACTTTTGGTACATATAAATGCCTGAGGGCACTTATTTTGTATTGTAGCACTTATATTATTGTACGTTTTGAACTGACAGAAATAAACAAAACAACCTGTCAATTCCGCATGCCCATGGCTGAATGATGTCACCCCAGAGCAACAGAGCAACATCCAGCGGGAACAGTTAAACGTGGTCACGTGATTTTACGGAAGTAGAAAGCAGACGAACAAGATGGCGTCACAGGCGGCGGGTGGAGGAGATCAAGGTACTCGCATCCGCTATATTATAAAATAGAATAAGATGTGACAGGTTTTCTAACTTTGTGGTAGGTGTAGGAAATCTGATGAATTAACAAATGGCTCCTGGTTTTTGGTTTTAGATCGATTGTGTTAACGGTAGCAATGTTACCTGGGATGTTAGCTTAGCGGCGCAGCTAAACGCTAGCTAGCATCACTTGCTGGACGTATTTTTTCATGGAAGAGATTCCCTTACATCAGCGACTGAGCGAAAAACATTAAATTAAGAAAAAGTGTGTGCTTACACACGAAATATGTTATATAAGGTTACCCTTTAGCTAAAAAGCGTCAGGAGTATGTCAAGCGTTGTTTAATTTAGCTAAAATAGTCTTTGTGATGTGAACTGGAAACATCGAAAATGACAAGGGCAAAAATACACCAGACATTATAATCAAGTCAGTAAAGACGCATAACAAAAGCTATTTTAGAGATTAATTGATCGAGTTTCTGTTTGAACGTGATCAACTTGAATGTCGTTTTCAAAACATGTGTGAATTGGAAGACGTGACTCATGAACCTGACCTTTGTCTTCCAGGAAATTCCAGTGAACAGATACTGGAAGTAGGAACCTTATTGTTAAAGGAGTGAGTATACACTAATGTTATTTTCGTCTTTAAAGTGTAGAAATGGTATGGAGGAAGGTGTCTCCAATTTAATAATTACTGATTAATGCTCGTTACTGACTGGGTGTAGGTGCTTTGTAAAACTTGGCATGTTCATTTTGACGTTGATGCTGCATTTATTGCTGGTAAATAGACCTACAATTCAGTTATAGTCATTTTAGAGCAGGGATGTCCAAAGTTTTCAGGATAAGGCCAAATACCCCAGGTTAAGTCATCGTAAGCCACAAATATGCATTCTTTTCTGCAAAAATTTAACAACTGATGATTTTTATTTTGTACTGCTCAAAACAGACCTTATCAATGAAACGATGAACATAAAACGTCAAGTGTCCAACATCAAAAGACAGCTTGAAAGACAAAATGTGGTGTTTATGTCATTTCTGTATTTTTTAGACTCCAGTTTTTTATTTTCATTTTTGTTATTATTTAAAATCTTAAAATGTTTCCTGTATTTTGATCTTTTTTATTCATCTTTAAAGGTGTTCGACACTTGTTTGACCTATGTATTTGCAGTGATCTCTAGTAGTAATGAATGCTTGCAAGCCATGCTCGTACTAGGCGCAGATGTGCTTGTTTCAGGAACTACCAGAATTCCACATCGGAGGAGAGCTTAACACGACAGGATTTGGAGTCTTATTTCGTGATATTTGGACACTTCGCCTCGAATTGGATAACAGCAACACGACTCTACCACTGACTGTTTACTTTGTTGATGTTTTAGAAAGAATAGACTTTATTGATCCCACAGTGGGAAAATTCACTTGTTACTGCAGCACTAACACTTAAGAGAATAATTTGAAGAAAAATAATACATGTATATACACATGGGCAGTAATCAAGTATTGTAACCTTCAACCATTAAAAACCGCAAATAAAAATGAAAAAAAAAAAAACGTGGGTTCCAACAATATGCAGCATGCTGCAAGATAGGTGTAGGAGACTATTTTCATATTCAGCCTGCATGACTGATTTATAATCGGAAATAATAATTAAAAACAGTTTTTCAGTGCTCCATACCTTTAAATTGAAGCGCTTTGATTTTTATCTAAATAGATGTGCCATATTAAAAAATACATTTCTTCTTTATAAAACACACCCTTCCTACAAAAATGTGCTGGCATCCCGCCTCCTACAAACCCACATTCTACCATGAATGTTCAGTGAAAAGAACCGTATCAATATTTAGCATTTACATAAGGCGGCTCATCTATGACATGTGTAACCGTGGCAACCAAAGTATAGAAAACACTATTTCGCTCATATTCAAATCAAGGTTCTGAGAGACGTAGAGGCACAGAGATACATTCATTTGGTTTAGAGTGGCACAGCGTTGAATACCGGTACTCTGTTTGGAAAACGTTTTAAAAATAAATGGTCAGATCATAAGATGGAGGAAGAGATGACACCAGTCATTTTAACGATGTCATCCAAAGGGCCTTTAGGCAGGAAATGTCATATTTGTTCATCCTATCAAACAAATATCATCTCGTCTGTCTGTTAATTCCTGCTGGGACAAGTTGGTTGCAGGAAACCCGAGAGTGGTCAAAAGCTGCAGAGATGCAACAAGGTTCCAGCAGTTCAGCCAATCTAATGCCGGGCCCAGTTCAGCACATAGATCAAATAGGACTGCTCTATGGAGGCTAGATCAGCTGATCAGACAGTTACCATCATTGGCCGAGAAATCTTCACGTTCTCTGAAAAACTCTCCCCATCCGGATCCTGCCCATGGGCTTGATCTTCAGAGCACATTCATCATAAATCGTCATGCACGAGTGTCCCTGCAGCATTTTTATATCTGTTCGGTGATCACACTGACCCCTGATGTACACGAGTGTGTGCGTCGCACGTCTATGGTTTGGTTAACACCAGTCATGCCGTGGCGCGGTGCGTGTCAGACCATTATAGCTTTATAACATGCAGACATTCCTTTGAACTAACTCTGGTGAAACTCTAAAAATAGCATATTTTTGTTCTGATTCTCATTTTCATTCTCAGTTCAGAGACGGGTGAGGACTGACGTGTGTGAGGGAGAGGGAGGTAGGGTGAGAGAGAGTGTGTATAAGTGTGTAAAAACCAACAAGCTTTATAAACGAGCCCCCAGGTCATGACTGCTGTGGATCTCACTCGCTTTTCTCTCTCTGTAGTCTAGGTATGAGTTATCGTGGTGCTTTACATGTTTGTGCTGAAGAAAAGAAATTAGGACTATATTTTCCTCAAGCTTTGTCTCGTAACTTTATATTGGTAATTCTCAACATTTTATTTTGTGTCTTAATTTGTTTTTAATGCTGTTTTTCCTCAAAGTTGAACATTTACAGTAATTTTTAAATGTTGCCTTTCCTTAATGTAACCGTTAACTTCTCGGTTAACATCTTTTGTTGTGTGTGTGTGTCTGCGTAGCTTCATCTTCGAGCGGGTCCGCCGACATGGAGGAGCCGATGCTGTAGTGTTGAGGGAAGAGCTGGGTGCAGCAGAGCTGTGTGACCCGAATCATAAAAAACTTGCTCAGTGCCTACAGCAGATCGGAGATGAGCTGGACTCAAACACAGAGCTACAAAGGTAGTTTCTTGTTCTAGCACAGTTCACAAAACTGTTTTTAGGTAGGGCTGCTCAATTAATCGAATTTTAATCACGATTACGATCTGAGTTTTGAACGATTATAAAAAACAAAACAAGCCGATTATTTGCTCCTCCCGCTTGCGCTGCCCTGAGTTGCAAATGAAGCGCTCCTCCACAGTGTTGCCAACTTAGCAACTTTGACGCTATTTCTAGCAGCTTTTCAGACCCCCTTCTTGACTTTTTAATCCTTAAAGTACCTAGCGAACATCTCAGAAACATCTCTGGTAACCCTTAGCTACTTTCTGGATAACGGTCGTCGACATTTCCTGCAGGTTAGCTAAAAACTCCGCCTGCGCTCCGGACCGTTCTTCACAACATTAGGAAAGGGAATGATGCAGTGATGTGTCGGTCGCTAAAGACAGCTCTCGGAGCCGGCTCCCTGTTGGATTAACCAGAGTGAGTGACACACACACCGCACCTGCGGACTCCTGAGCAGCTAAAAACAGCTAAATGTGCGCGTGCAGCGTGCTAAACACACGTGCAGCTTGCCCGACTGCTGTGAGACCGGGTGGGGGGGTGGGGGGTGCAGCTGTGGTTGGGACAATTATTACATTAACTGATGGGCCTGTAAATAAATAGTTTATAAATAAGGTAGAAATAAGTTCCTCACGCTGATAAATAACTAATCTCTCTGAGGACACGGTGCTAGTGCACTCTCCTACAGCACCTTGACAGGACTCAATAAATGTTATGCAACATTTTGTGAACATCAATTTATTTTCATTTATTTGTTATAAATGCCACTGTATAATTCTTGCTGTCAGTATTTGCAAGATATTGGTATTTGGTTCTGTACTGGTTAGACTTACATGAGTTAAACCAAGGTCTATAGCCCTTGGGTCATAGACTATGAGCTATAAGTATATTGGTCTTTTTATACTGGGAATCAGGAGTTATTTTAGTGATCATCTTGTTTCTTATTTTTGTCCTAATTGTGCCCTGAGCAATTTTATGACTGAATAAAAACAAATAAAATCATCATAAATTGAAAAATCGTCCTAAATAATCGTGATCTCAATTTCAGTCACAAAAATCGTGATTATTATTTTTGCCATAATCGAGCAGCCCTATTTTTAGGTAAAATTTAGGATTTATCATTTCCCTAAGCATCACGTGATGTTTTTCCCTAGGATGATAAATGACTCGGCTCTTACTCCCTCAAAAGAGGTGTTTGTAAAAGTCGCCTATGAGATCTTTTCAGATGGAAGATTCAACTGGGGCAGGGTGGTGGCGCTGTTTTACTTTGCCTGTCGACTCGTCATCAAAGTAAGAGAAGCTCCTGTTTTACATAATTTCCTGTAAAAGCAGATCATTCAACAGCATTCCTCACATGTCTGCAGGCTCTCATCACCCACATCCCTACGCTTATCAGAACCATCATCAGCTGGACTTCTGACTACCTTCGGGATCACGTGATCAACTGGATCAGAGAACAAGGTGGCTGGGTAAGTCATGCAAATCATTTAGTCGGCAGTCGTACTCTCGTCAGGCTGGATGCTAACGCTCGTGTCTGGGTTTCAGGAGGGCATTCGTTCCCACTTTGGCACTCCCACATGGCAGACGGTGGGCGTTTTCCTGGCTGGGGTTCTTACTACTGTTATAGTCATTCGCAGGATGTGAGGGCCGTTCAGAGAGCAGCGCGGAGAGCGATGAGCAGAGCTGTCACTGAAGGAGCATGAGCAAAGAAAGGAGATCACTGGGTCGACTGAGGGACGACATGGCAGAGGGAAGAACAGGAACTCCTTAATGGAGCGCCGCGCTTCGTCTCACATCGGAGTAGGAAACTGGGAGTTTGACCGTTGTGCCCATGATCACCATTGCTACTGACTAAGTGAGCTGTGCACGATTACTTGTGCAAAATCAGAAGGAGGATATGAGACTTTAAAGAAGAGGGCGAATTTTATTAATTTATTTTTTACTTGGTACAAAGTCATTAAGCTCCCTCTTTGGCTATAAAACCTGATAAATCCCGATTTTATTTTATTTTTTTGCAGTTCTGTGTCTTTCAAGTCATTTAACATTTCGGACCTTTCCACCATTCACCTCATCATTATGTCCGTATGCCAGCAAAGCTTTATTCACATGTGTTGGTGAGTAGCCACTGGTTTAGCATCTTTTCTAGTCCAGTGGCTATGAGCATATTCAGTGGTGGTCACATTCATTGTAATGTGATGTTTTTGCAGTTGATTATGAATCTGAAAATTGTATCTATGTAGACGAAGTCCCCTTAAAACTGTTAAAACGAACAGCTCATTAAAGCCCCCGTCTTCCCGTACACACACAGCTAGACTTTAGCTAACGGGGTAATAAAAGTGCCACACCAGGAAGGATTTGTTTACATTTAACAGTAATAATTATATTAGTAAAATTCCAGCAAATGTCAATAGATCTATCAAAACTGTTCCTGCTGGGGTGTTGTGACTGCCATAACCTTAATGTGGTCCCCAGTTTAAAAACAAGTTGTGTGCTGGTTTTGTAGAAGAATGAAGCCATGTGTGGAGCAGATGTTGGCTTTCACCTATGAAACAAGTGGTGCTGCGTACACAGGAAGCAGTGGGCGGCTCAAGGGTGCTTACCTCACTTTTACACGTTCAGAGTACTGTATTTTTACACCCGTTTTCAGACTGCTGCCACACGGTCTGGGCAGAAAAAGGCTGATACCTTCTCTTTTGTCGGTGCCTTGATGTCCTTTTCTAAAATGATGAAATCATTTTGATATTCAAGTTTTCACCTTTTCTATCACATTTGTAAAAATGAAATTAGGTTTGGTCTTTGCAGTGACCTTTCATGTTATAAAAATAAATCATTTAATTCTTGTCGTCTTGTTTATTTATTTGGCAGACAAAGCGACTTACAATTTATAACCTGTAGGGCATGTTGTGATCTGTGGGGGAAACTGGAGGAAACCCACACACGCATGGGGAGAACACGCAACTCCACGCAGAAAGGCCGCAGCCGAGTTTCGAACCTGCGACCTTCGTGCTGCGGGGCAACTGCGCCACCATGCACTATATTTAACATTTACAGAAGTGGTTATATACCAGAGCCTTTAGCTCGAGTCAAGGGTATTCTATTCTGCTCCTGGAGGTCTGGTGTCCAGCATGTTTTAGTGGTTTCTCTGATTCCACACACACGACTCACCTGTACAGCAGCTCATCAGGCTCTGCAGAAGCCTGTTAATCACATGCTGAGTGAAATCAGGTGTGCTGATACCGGACCTCCAGGCCACCTGCATTAAATTATTACATTTCTGCTTTTGGCACATTAACATCAAACTTTTGAGTGTCTCGCGTGAGTTTAACTTGGCCTTCATGGTTTAATTTGCACTTTAGTTGCCTCAAACATTTAAAAGTGTAAAAGATGATTCTGGCTCTACTTGTACTTTGGGCTGCAGCTGCTCATATGGTGAATACTGGAGTAAAAACAGGACAAGAGCTGAAGGCTTCACCATAACCATCAGAACTAACCCTCACGCAAGACCAAAAAATATTTTAATCTCATTTTGATGCACCTTCAGTTTATTAAAAAATAAAGTAATTTCACTACATTAAAAGCTGGAATCACTTATAATTTATTAAAGGGGATGTAGAAATGATTGACCAAAGCTGCTCTGTGGTTGTGACTGAGGTGTGAAGAAAAACAAAATGAACTAATAATTCAAGGTGTTTATTACGTTAAATACAAGTGCAATGAGAACAGCATTCAAATATCACAAGACAGGTTCAACACTACGAGACTTTTTCTCCACACTGAAATAAAAGCAGGAACATTTTAAAAGCCTTCCAGCGTATTTTGAAATGACCCTTTTAACATTCAGCCGACGGGGAGGGCTCTAGCGTGTCTCCAGCACCCGGTCTCTGATCCTCCACCTCCATGCAGAGCTGAAGTCTGGAGCAGGAACACAGCGCAGCTCTAGTCCGGATTCCAGCACCTCCTCGTTGTGAGCGGTCTGCCGACCCTGAAGGGTCTCCAGGGTGAACACCCGCTCAGAAATCTGCAAAAGAAACTCACTCAGCGCCTTCTCGTGCTTCACTGAAGCGTATAAATAAAACCTGCAGCAACATCGCACCTGATCACTGATTCCAGTGGCGATGTGGCCAACCTTCACGCGCCGCTTCTCCCTGATCCGAATGCTTCTCCTGCTGAAGTCTCTGATGCAGACATCCACCCCTGACCCAACAGCAGAACACACACGAGCAGTGTGTGGTAAATCAGGTGGAGGGATGGTTTTTTTAGTGGATTTTATCTTACCTTGAAAACACCAGGGTGGTCGAAACGGTGTTTGACCCAACAAATCCGTACTCAAGACCTGAGCATCTGATTGGCTGTTGTAGGAGAAGAAGCCGGAGCTGAAGTCGTCTGCTGGGCTGAGGGACCAGCGGCCAGAGTCCTTGGAGAGAAACAAAGGTTTTAGATGGCAGTACCTTAACGATACTTTTGTATCTAAATCTATATTTTTTTTTCATTTTAAGTGAGGATAAACTACTGAAAGGGTTTGTTCTTATTGTTTATATTATTTTTTTTATATTTATTTATATTATTTATTTCAGTTTTTTCTAAGCAAAACGGAGCAAAGCTACAGTGCAAACAGTAAAGGCACAAAACTGAAATATTTGTCTAAAATTAGCCTTCACAAATGCTTCACTTCGTGTCAGTAACAGCAGCAACAACAACCCTGCTGAACTGCATTTATAACACCGGTAAACAGCGAGTAAGTAGGTGTTATGTCCCGTTTCTGCTTCTATCGGCCGACAGTGGTTTGGAGGGTGATGGACTCGGGTTTACTTTTTCGCTGTCAAAGACTTTTCATGTTTCAGCTCTCAAGATGACGCCCTGCAGGACAAGGTGCTTTGTTAAATTGCTGGTACTTCTGATTTTCGCAGCACAAATCTTCTCGCCGGTGTTGCATTTAGCTGCTGCTTACTTTTGTAAAATGCACCAAACGCTAGAGATTTACAGCATTTTTCATCTGCAGAGAAGTGTTGCTGAAAGAAGACACGTCTCCTCCTGACATAACGTGACTCAGGATTAGTCATGTGACCCGTGACGGTACACTGGAGCATTTTCATACTTTTTTCCTGATATCGGTACCTACCGAATGTTTTCACTCAGTTCCAAAGAAATCCAGAGCTCTGGCGCCCAGCTCTAAGCATTACTCAACCTTTCTCATGGTCAGCTGAGATCTTCTGTTTCTCCTCTGCTGGAGGTCTGGGTTACGTTTACTGTTTTGCATCACCGCTGTAGCGCGGGAGCTGAATGCGTCACATGTTCAGAGTATTTTGACCCGAGGCTGCACTGCATTCTCAACTAATGTTTCTGCCACTCTTTATTTAATAAAATTATTGTGGATGATAAATGAAACTTTAGAGGACAAATACAGCACAGAGAATTTACATACAGCACAATTTTTAAGACCCAGTTGTTAAAATTCAAGACTTTTTAAGGTATTATTTCCAAATTCCTAAATTCAATGCTTTTAAGACTTTTTAAGACCCCCCGCGGGAACCCTGTAGAGCACATCTTAGGTATTAAAAGCCTTCATTAATATTAAAGAGCTTCTAAATTTGAATGTTCAGTTAAAGCGTAAAAAAGTCTCAACTCCAGTCCCAGATTTAAAAAGTCACCTTTTTATCCAGCGGTTCCCAGTTGAGAATGTCGCTGTTGATGCAGGACAGCAGCTGCTCCTGCATCTCAGCAGAATGAAGCTGAGACAGGCTGCTGAGGTAAAAGTCTGGAAACAAACCCCGAGCAGAGCGTAAGCACCACCTCTATGACACGCAACAAGAAGATCAGAAGCAACACGCCTCACCTCGCTCCAGTTTACGAAGCTCCAGCTCGGGCAACGTGGTGACTTTGTTGCCCCACTTTTGGTTCGGCTCAGAAATCAGCACTTGTGGACCAAAGAGCAACCCTTGTTTTGATTCGCGTGAGCCGGTTTCATTCTCGTTCCCAAGATTTAGTTTCCGAGCCTTCCGTTCTGCGGTGGTCACTTTGTCGGCCGACTCCGGGTGCAGCTCTCCGTTCTCAGAGCCATCGCTGCTATAAGGGAGCTGCATTGATTTACTGGTAACATACAGAGGCTCTGCGTAGGGACCCTTGACCGGACTGGTAAAACCTCCAACTAAAATAAAAAAACAAAGCCATACTGCAGATTAGAGCTGGTCTGAGCTGATTAAACTGAAATGAACACAGCTAAAGACTCATGGTCCTGGTTTTGTCTTGCACATTTACAAGCTGCAGGATCGTGGTGGTGACATGCAGAGTTGAAAAACTAAACGTTTCTCAAAGAAACACAGATCTAACGGAGTATCGAGTTGTTAGTTTCCTTTAAACAGCCAGCACCCACGTACACACTGATGACAAGGAACATAAACACTAAAACAAGAGGAAAAACAGAACGTGTCTTTACCTTCCTTAAGAGCTCTGTCAGTCTTGTTTTTCATCTGAGATGCTGATGATCTCTTAACGGGATCCTTCTGGAGTCCAGCCTTAAAAACTTCAGCTGTGAGCGGGCTGCAGTCAGGTGGGATCTCTCTGACGGGAGGAGGATCGTTGGCAATCTGCAACCATCCGAGTGGATTTAGTGATGAACGCACGTTTGTGCTGAAGCAACAGCTCTGCCTGTACGCTGTGGTGAATCTCACCTTCAGGTAGAGTCGACAGGTGTAGTATCTTGTCCATGGCTCACACCCATTGAGCATGTGCAGTAACATGCAGCAGCTGCTCCACACATCTGCTTTGGCTCCACGGGGTTCCCCTTTGACAATCTCAGGGGCCATGTGGGTCTCGGTGCCCTTCAGGTCTGGCATGAATGAATCAGAATATGTCATTAAAATCATAGAAGTGGGTAAACAATCACTTAGCTGAGAAGACAGCACAGCATTTACCCTTCAACCCTCTGAGGCTCTGCCCCTGACTGTCCAGTTTCTCTGCGTGACCAAAGTCGCACAGGAAGGTGTCCTTTCCATCTTCTGACAGCAACACGTTATCAGCTGCGAGAATCAAATCAGAGACATGAATCTTTGTGTGGTTCGGCGGTCTCACGGGGACGTTGTTGGAGCTGGAGGACATTAGAAACAGGGCAGCTGCCCACAAACATAGGAGCTGCGTAGCAGGGACACATGGAGCCAGATTGGGACGGCTGCAGGAAGAAACACTTCATGTGGAACCCATAAAGAGATGAGTTCCTCCTGCAGCATTACAAACACCAGGGGGCGCTTGAGCTTCAACCGAAACAACGTGTTGTCTTCACTTCTGCTTTGTTGCTCTTCTCTTTCTTTACTACGGTTTCCTCCTTTTATTTTATTCCTTCTTTTTTCTCATCTTCTGTTCTATACAAGTACTACCACTTCTCTATCTGTGAATCTCTGTGTACGTGTACCACATCACTCCTGTACAATCCTCGCTGGCTGCTTCCTGCTCCCGGTCCCATCCCCCCCATCTGCTTCGCCTTTCTCACCGTCTTGTGCACATGCGCTGCACGGCGGCGGTGAGTCACGCGGTTGGAAATTCCCAGCCCGTCAGCAGTAATCAAGTTTCACAAAACAGGTGCTGCATGATCGAATCTAGACCGTCTATGACACTCGTGTTCCACACAGCAGCTCCACAACGGCTCTCAATCCTCAAGAAAACAATCGCTCTCTCTCTCTCTTTGTCTGATTTTCCACTGGATACAACAAGTGAACGCTTCATTCTGTTTTACTGTCACTATAACTACAGAACTGTTTATTGCTGTTTGTAGGCTGATGCCTGGAGTTTGATGTTCATGACAAGAACTTTGTGGAAAAAACTGTTTTTTTAACACTATTTGACGCTTTCATCCAAAGCGATGTACAATTTTTAACCGATGGGGCATGTTGTGATCTGTGGGGGAAACCCACGCATGCATGTGGAGAACGTGCAACTCCGCGCAGAAAGGCCGCAGCTGAGTTTCGAACCTGCAACCTTCTTGCTGCAAGGCAACAGTGCTAGCAAATGCGCCACCATGCAGCCCGTGTTTACCTACAAAACAGTTTTTCATAAAAGTAGCATGGTCAGATCTACTTTGTAGTGCTAGAAAAGAAAGGGATCCGCATACCTTTAATATCTAAATGTGCCACCTTCTTCTTCACCAAGTACTCCAGTGCTGTTAGGACTTGAGAGACGTAATGCAGACTTAGATCTTCAGGCAGTCGGCCACGCTTCATTATCAGCTGGCCCAAGGAGCCTAGTTAGTCAAATAAAGACAGGTAAATAGATATTTAGGCTTCCATTTAACCATGCTTTTATTTTTATAGAGACCAATGAAAAAGTCAGAGTTTGATTATTTAAAAAGGATAACATGAAACTTGTTTACCAGACTTCTGGTCCATCAGAAGGACAACACAGGGCCCGTCTCGGATGACTCCGAAGAGCTCCACCACACGAGGAGATCTGAGGGCACTCCACGCACCCACCTCCTCACTGCTGAACCTCTTCAGGGCGATCTGCAACCGAACCCCACATGGCCCACTTTTAAACTCCGCTGTGTAACAGTGACTACGTTTACATGCAGCCAATATCCGGGTTATGATCGGGTTAAGGTCGGTATTCGGGTTTCTGAGTTGATCAGAATAACCCGTTTACTATGGCGCGGTATAGGGGCCAAAATTAAGACTACTGCCCAGCAGCAGGAGGCTATACAAATTCTGAAGCAAACTACCGACCTGATTAATGATAAGCTGGCGCCGGTAACTGAGAGGCAGGCGCTGCTTACTGAGAAATAGCACCTTTACCAGCGTTACTACTAGATATGCTAGGGACTAGCAGCCCTCGGCTGGTCATTGACTGGTTCACACACTCCCTCTGCTGTCTATTAGCACGGATAAGCTAGCGTTAGCCTGGATGGGCTGGTGTTAGCATTGGAGAGGCTAGCCATTAGCGTGCCTAGGCTGGCCACTCGCTGGATTTCCTACCCCCTTGACGGACCTTTAGCATGGATAGGCTGGCGTTAGCTTTGGAGAGGCTAGCCATTAGCATGCATTCCCTCTTTCCTGTTCACTCTCTCTCTTTCTTAACATTATTTTAAATCACAATGGCCTATTTTTGCTCATTTTAAATATATTTTTAAACATTTTCTAAATGCTTTTTTATATTTTTACTTTTTTTTTTTGTTTTTGTGAAGCGCCTCGTGATTTTTATCTTGAGAGGCGCTATAGAAATGATATTTTCTTCTTCTTCTTCTTCTAGGTACGCTTATGGCTAGCCTCTCCTATGCTAACACCAGCCTATCCATGCTAATGGTCTGTCGAGGAGGTAGGAAATTCAGCTAGTGGCCAGCCTAGGCACGCTAATGGCTAGCCTCTCCAATGCTAGCACCAGACCGTCCAGGCTAACGCTAGCCTATCCATGCAAATAGACAGCAGAGGGAGTGTTTGAACCAGTCAATGACCAGCCGAGGGCTGCTAGTCCCTAGCGTATCTAGTAGTAACGCCAGTAAAGGTGCTATTCGTCAGTAAGCAGCGCCAGCCTCTCAGTTACCGGCGCCAGCTTATCATTAATCCGATTGGTAGTTTGCTTCGAACTTTATATAACCTCCTGCTGCTGGGCAGTAGTCTTAATTTTGGCCCCCATACCGCGCCATAGTTTACAAGCATTAATAGAAAGAGTTACCCCTAACTTGCATAACCCGATGTAAATGCGGACGTTGGGGTAGCGTCAGGACGTATGGACTACGTCCAGACGCAATATGCGTCATTTCCGGTTCTTCTTGTTCCGGTATCCGTGAAAACAACAACATGTTTCCCAGTCCAGAAGAGATAGCGACCGCGTTTGTTTGCGCTTTAGTTTCCTCGTCACTCCAAAAGTGTGGTGCTGTGCCGCGACTCGCCATGTTGCTCCCAACTTGTTGTTTACTTCCGGTGTTCTGGCGCATACAAGACGTCTCGCTACTCAAAAGACCAAGATTCCTTGCGAACAGAGCATGCGCAGAACACACGCTTTGATGGGGATATCCCGACATGCGTTTACACGACCAAACATTCGGGTTAGAAAAGGGTTACCCCAGGTGTAGTAACCGGGATTTTAAAAACCCGGTTGTGAGCATATCCGGGTCTTTGGCGGTGTTTACATGGCCGTGCGGAACGGGGTTATTGTGAATATTCGGGTTTTAAAAGGGATACTGGCTGCATGTAAACGCACTCAGTGAGAAAACATAAATGGTGTGCTTCTGTTTACCTTTTTGGCTGCAAATTCGAATCCTGTTTGGGCATCTCGAGCGCCGTGTACTTCTCCATAAGAGCCTTGTTTGATAAAATGTGACAGGATGTACTCACTGCCTTCTTTGTACTCAGAGTCCACAAGCTGAAATTTCTTTCAGGAAAGAAAAAGAGAAAAAGAAACTAATTAATGGAAACAGCTCAAGGAGCATGAGAGGATGTAGTTGATTAAATAAAAATGTCATTACTTCATTAAAAAAAATGATTCCTTCGTTGCGATGTGAATCGTCTGCGGAGAACTCGTCTTCACTCTCCTTTACGTCATTTTCCACATCTCTGAAGAAGGGTCCTGCATAGCAGGGGTCGGCCTGGCTGACGCTGCCTCTCAGGCCGGCGAGGGCGAGGGAGCAGCTTCCCAGAGTGCTGAGGGAGTCTGAGCTTCTGTCATCCTCATAGGAGTGGAGGCTGGAGATCCGGCGCAAACTCGAGTTAGGCCAGTTCAGAACAGCACAGCTGGAGTCGGTGTTGAAGGCTGGTCTGGTGTAGAGAGTGTGTGTCTGATCCTGCTCCACCAGGCTCTCGACACTGCTGCAGCAGGACGCGCTGAGCTCGCGTCTCCCACTCAGGGACAATTCCTCCTAAAGAAGAAGAAGCAAACAGTAAGAGCTGATCAGATCAGACAAAGGGGAGCTGATATTCTTAGAGGCTGTTGTGTGAGGAACGCCCACAACTCAGGTTAGAAGAAGTAAGTGGCTCTCACCTGGATCAGGCCTACAGAACTCCCGCTCTCCTGTTCAGGGACTCCAGAGGGCGTTCGATGTCTCTGCCGCTGCGTCTCCTTCCTCTTCTCCTGCTTTTTCCTCCCTTTGCTCTTCGGTTTCCTCCGGCTCTTCTTTCTCTGTGTGAAACTAACCGACGAGCAGCTTGGCTGCCGGATGGAGGCTGGAGCTGGACATGCCACATTGTTGTGCTCAGAAGAAAGACTGCAAAAGTAGCATGTTGACAAAGTTTAGTGAGTAAATGTAAAATAGTAAAAACCAGAGAGAGATGTCTAGTTTACCTGCTAATGAAACAATTTGGAGAGGGAACATAACTGCGTTCGTGAGAAGAAGGACTGAACTCCTGGGAGTCCTGGGTTTCGCCTGAAAACAGAGAAAACGGTGTTAAATTCTGTCCAGAGGCATTTATTTTACGTTATATAAATAAAGATGAGTTAACATATTCACATTCAGCCTGAGCGATGATGGTTGAGGTCTTTATGGGCTCTTCTCCCACCGTCTCCGCCGTCCCATGTGTCAGGAGTTTACTAACCCATTCTTTTATGCGCACGGAGCCATTTTTGGGGCCTTTTCCCTCCTCCGTCTCCTGCTCTACGCTGGAGCAGGATGGGTAAGACCCCTTCACCTCGGCTTTGGGTGAGTCGGAGAACGGAGACGTAGAATTAAAAAGCCTCTGACTCACCGCCATTTCATCGGAAGGGTCTGCAATGAAAGAATATCAAGTCAGGTTCTTTCTGGGTGATTTCAAATCAAAACATTTTTATGCAGATCTTTCATTAGGAGGCAGGTAGGGGTATCTCAGTTTCATATGGCTGCAAATAATTATGCAAGTATAAAACGTTTAAAAATGATAAATAAATGATAAAATATTAAAATTAAATGTTTACTACAAATACTAATTAAAGGTTCCATATCATGCCATTTTAAACCTTTGAGAACAACAGTAGGTACAGTTAATGATAAAATATTACCATTGGCAGAATTGAGATGTAATTTATCTTAAATATGAGTTTTTATCATCTGCCTGAATTTATACCCAGTAATCAAATGGTTCGTTTCGATGGTTACAGCTGTTGCTGTTTACCTCAGAAAACAGACACTGCAGAGGACAATCAGTGCATTGCCTCCTCCTCCTACCTGCACAGCTGCACTCACTTGGGCCGATCACGTCCTGAGCAGCATAAAAGGGAGAGCTGCCAGGAGGAAGGGAGAGACTGGATCTGTGCCAGTTCTCTCATGTGCTCCATTTATTGGTGTTTTAATGGGTTTTAGTTCTTTAAGCTTAGAGAGGCTTAAGAGCTTTTAGAGGTTTTTAACAGACGAGGGACCAGAGTGCTGGTTACCTCTTGGCTCCCAAGCTTGTGTTTAAGTCAGTGGACTTTGTTTTGTGAATGCTTGGGAGCATTCGGATGTCTGTTTTAAAGTAAACCCTTGGCCATTTTAACAATGTGTTTAAGTACATTTAGATTTGGAGCTTTTTGTCATTTTAAAATCCTTTTAATAAAATCAATGTTTACAATTTCCACAACTGAAACACATGCCTCTGTGTTACTCCCCGTCCTTCTCCATATCCACCAATAGAGGACGTAACATCGATGAAGCTCCGCCCATGCACGCTCCAACAAAATGTGCCTACAAGAGCGTCTTAAGCGAGTCAGTTGGTGTGGCTAGGATAGTCCAGGGGTTAAGACGTCTGTCTGCCAGCTCCATTTTGTCCTGTTCTGACGTCAACTCCCAGTAATGTCGGCAGTAATTTATTTAGCCAGCTGATGTAGGTTTCATGTTTTATACTGAAATTTTATTGATTATTTCTGTAAAGTATTTTGTGTCTCTAAAGATCTCTGCATTTGGTTTATTTACTCTGCTCACCCCACATGGACTCACACTAGCTAAATAAACAAGAGAAAGTAAAAAAAAAAAAACATCCTCATATTTAAAAAGTTTACCAAGAAAGGACTGAAAACATAATACTGGCAAGTGTAGCTAATAAAAAAAAGAAAAGAAGTTACTGTTCGGACCAGGATGTAAACCTGCACAAAACCACTGCACCACCAAGTCTGTTACCACATAGACATGAATACGTAGACGTCCCATTGGGAGCAAGAGGGTAACAGCATTGCTGCCATATTAGATGGGTCTCCTCACTCTCTACAGTCAATGCAGAGTGGACAACAATGCCCGTTTTTGTGCAGCCTATGGTTGCATAAACCGGCGTACAATTGAAAACAGATCACATGATATTGACTTTTCTAGCCTTCCTGATGGGTAGATTTTATATTTTAATTTACTTTAATTTATTTTGTTTGATGATATTTATATTTTAATTATTATGCTATACCATGTGTCTAATTTTGTGTTTTTTAGCAGGGTAACCACCTTCCTCAGTAGAAATGGAATCACTGGGGGCGAACGGAGACCCATCTAAGATGGCATCCGGCCACTATGACAGCTCCAATAGGCAGCACCAGTCCACAGGGAGTCTACGTATACATGTCTGTGTGTTACCAGACAGCAATCACCTAAGCTACACACATATCTTGTGTGGGTTTCAAATCCCAGAACAGATTTAAGGGAGGCGCAGGGCCTGTGTCGGGAGCAGGAAAATGGAGTGATGTACAAATTTTACATTGGTCGGTTATCGTGAATTTCTATACAAACACACACACACACACACGCACACACACATACATACTTGTCTCTGTATCCTTGTGTGGAACCTCCATTGACTTCCATTTATTTTTGGGGCTCCACTATGCCTAACCCATACCCTAACCCTGACCTTAACCAGTGGGGTTCTATTCCTTACACTAATCTAAACTAAAAGTTAATTCACACCATACCTCTAAAACCAAGTGTTAGGGTGCTTAGCATTGTGTGGAGCAGCAAAATATCCCCAAAGTGGAAATGGCCACGTTACAGGTTAAAGTTAAAATTTGTCCACCTAAACATTTAAAGACAAGTACACACACACACCAACATATTGGACTACAGCTCAAGAGTGAGTTTAACACTCGTTTACTGGAATGAGGTGAAACTTTGAGTGTTTGCAGTAGGCAGAAGGCCCCCTCCCCCTTGCTTAGACAACTGTTTCATTACGGGAAGTATTTTAGTGAAGTAAAACAAGACCAAGGAACCAGTAATGATTTGCATGACCACATAGACATGTGTCACTGCAATATCCATCACACACACACACACACACACACGCACGCACGCACGCACGCACACACACACACACACACACACACACACACACAGCATTAATCTAAGCACTGTGGAGGCACCTTTGCAGCTTGCTGCATCTCTCAATCTCAAACATCTCGACCTAAATGACCACACAGATGACTACAATTTTACCAACTGAATTTCACTAAACGCAGAGCTTACATCTTACAGACACTAAACTACTGCTCATCTCTAACAAAAGGTGTTAAAATGTTGTATGATGTTACCTTGTTGGCCGACTTCATGTACAGTCTATCTAGAACAACTGTTACTTCCGTATCACAATGCTGTCCTACCACACCCTGTCAAAGTTATGTGGAAAGGAAGTTGAGAAAAAAACCTGCAACAAACATAACCACCAAAAAACTGTGTGTGTGCACGAGGCGGAGTAATCTAAACACCTACTTGACATGTACCAGGCTGAAGCGCTCTCACGCTCCCGTGGATCTGCTCTGAGAAGCCTGATCTACAGAAACTAGGTGCTCTATTTGTCCTTCATGTTTCTCCGTCTCTGCTGCTTCGCTCTGATGCAAGCTGGAAGCCAGAGGGGGAGGAGCTGGCCGACTGCTTATGGGAAAAGCGTAACGCTTCCCCATATTCCTCCTCCTCCTCCTCCTTCTCCCTCCAACCGGGTTGGTTTATTCACACTGACACAGAAAAAAAGAATGCTATGTTTGAATTTGGCTCTGGTTGTGAACCGTGATCAGGGAAAAAGCCGAGCGCAAATGCTCTTAAAGCAGGTCTCTCAAAGGAGGATGGGATTTTTGTTTAGAGGAAATTAAAAAAAACACGACCTACAAAGGCAACTGTTAAAAACAAGCAAGCTGTGTGTGTGTGTGTGTGTGTGTGTGTGTGTGTGTGTGTGTGTGTGTGTGTGTGTGTGTGTGTGTGTGTGTGTGTGTGTGTGTAAGAATATCCCTTCAACCTTAGTGTTGCTTACATGTAAAAGTCCATCACATCATGTCACACCATCAGAAACTATTCAGACTGACTCGTCATTAGCAACCACTGTCTGTCTGCCTTTTTATTCTTCTTACAAAAGAGACATTCAGAAATCTGACATTATGATTTTGTTGTTGTGGAAAACATTTGCAACACCTGAATTTGGAGCAAGAGCAAAAGCGTTCTTGATCTATCTGAAACAAGCTCACTTTCTTTCCTTTTAAGCAGCAAAACAACTGAACCGACTCAAATCAAAACCACTACAGCACACCGGAAGTTCAGAATACCGCTCGAGAGGCTCTGCCGCATGCCATTAAAACACAAAACACTAAATGCATGATGCTCCTGCACTGATGAAAAAGTACATGTTATTTGAAATCTGTAAACTGTTCGACACAGTTGTGGACAATTAGGATTCAAATTTTGCAAAAGTTTCACGTTTCCATAATTCTCTAAGCTTCTACACTACAGCAGGAGCAATCTAGCTTTTGGTTGCATTTTGTAATTGTATAAACTTATTTGTTTCTTAATTACATTTTATGTTTTATAGACTTTTTCACTCCCATAACTATTTAAACTGTGAAAACTTTGATGTGCTGTATGAAATTGACACAGATAGTGCGTTTACATTGGCATTACGGTTGGGCAACAGACAAATTTGCTGACCATCGCCGACAGTCCGAGAACTTCAACAATCTTTTTTTTTTATCAGCAATGTATTTTTATGCCTATGAGTTAGTCTGGCAAATGGCACATTTTTAAGTAAGTAAATTTTATTTATATTACAAACAAGTGAAAGATGATTTTAAATTCAAGTAAAAAAAAAAGGAAGAAAAACACAAAAGGTTTACAAATGAACTACATTTAAATAAAAGGGTCTTCAGCTGCTGTCTAAAGCCTGATGTATGCTTCTCCGTCTGCGTCAGTGCGGAGACACGCAACGCCATTATCCGTCCTTGCATAGGGCTCAGGCAGGCATGCAAGTACGTACGGAGTCGAGCCCACTTTTTTAAACATCCGTCGAACGAGACGGATTACGCAAGCTTGTGATTGGTCAGGACGCCGCTGTTGTTTACAGCGCCGCCATTGCAAAGAGAGCCGAGGATAACTAGCGGCAGACACGGAGAAGCTTGAAGAATACCTTGCGAAAAAACTCTAAAAATATGAACGTTTAATTCTCCCGTGACAGGAGGAGTGAAAAGATGCGCAGCAAGCGTTTTATTTGTGGACGGAGATGACAGGAAACGTGGGTTTAGAGGTGGGGAGCGCATGAAGAGATAGAGGAGAATGAGAGACAAAAATGTCCATGTTAAAAGTCTCTTATATACACAAAAAATACAATATAAACACACTATCTACATGGCAGGATACCACAGAACAGCGCTACGCCCTCTGTTGTCCTGCCGGGCAATTGCTTTGCAACACTCTCCAGGAGACGGAGAAGTAAAAGAGCAAAACGCTTCCGTCAATCCGTGCGTGTCTGTCCCTTGCGGAGCTGACGGAGAAGCATAAACCAGGCTTAAGGGTCACCAGACTGACAGTACTCCGTAAAAGGGATGTACAATGTTAAGCGGTTAACTGCTGTCTAGGTAAGTAGTACTCAATACGCCCGAGGGCCCCTCTTTGTGGCCTCCAGACCACCAGCACCCCCCACCCCAGACCAGACCGGACCTTTAAAGAGAGGGAGACTGCCATACTGTGATACGAGGAGCCCCACTTCCTCTAACCATACTCAAATCGTATGTATCCAGTCCAAGATAGTGCATTTACTATAGTGTTTACTGTTTATAGGGGTTTTTTTGCATTTCAGAGACTTTCTAACATGAACCAATTTGTCCCTTATTTTCCTCCACTTCTTCATGCACTCGCAACATCTAAACCCACGTTTCCCGTAGTTTCTATCCACGAATAAAACGCTTGCTTTATGCTTTATACTTCTCCAGTCACGAGTGAACAAGCGTTCATCTTTTTTCCGTGAGGGATTGTTTAAGCTGCTCCATTTCTGCCACCAGATTTCTTTGGCTCACTTTTTTTTTTGAGGGGGCAATGGCGATGCTGTTGATGAATTTAAAGGAAGCGGCGTCCTGGAGAATCACAAGCTCAGGTTCTCCGTCTCTTTTGACAGATGTTTAGAACACAGAGACGCTGATGCATGCTTTTATCACCGGTAGAATTGACTACTGTAATGCCCTGCTTTCTGGTCTTCCTAAAAGGAGGACTTCAGGTCTACAACTTTTACAAAATTCAGCAGCACGTGTCCTGACGAAGAGTTGACTTACAGCTGGTTGGTTGTATGCAATATATTTATTCTTGCCTTCATGGTCTCGTTACTTCCGGTATGGAGTGCCCAGGCCGGCCATAGCTCGGCTAAGCTGGGATATTGTTAACATGCAGAGAAATTCAGTTTTCTACACACATTATCTAGGTACCTTAGCTTGATTTGACTTGGTGTCTATATGAATTTCAAAAGTCTGAATTTAGTCAGCAGAGATTAGGGATGTGTATTGGCGAAATTCTGGCGATACAATACTTATCACGATACAGGGGAGATGATATGATATATCACGATATATTGCGATACATTCAGTCAGACAATATTAGCGATTTTTTTTAGACTAAAATTATTGTAGGAAAATTCAATAAATGGTCCAAACTGATACTTGACATGATTAACATGAGGTATCTGAACCATAACAGAGGGATTTACATTTCAGTGGTGGAAACAAACTCCATTGCACACTACTGCTGACTAGCAGACGACATTTGATTTGCACCAAAAGAAAAGAAAATACACAAATGTTTACACGTGAATTCTTCCCAAAAAAATTGATACACAGCTTTTGAACATCGATATCATATCACAGGAAAAAATATCGCAATATATTGCTATATCGATATTTTCTTACATGCCTAGCAGAGATAATGATTCAGTATTCTCTCATTGCATGTAAACCCACTAAAAGATATAGAGTAAACAGATGAGCCATAATATTCTAGCGAACCCCGACAGTCTTATTGGCCTTTCTTTTGCCTTTACTCCTGCAGTGTAGCCTTTGTGTCCAATTTTCTGTAGGTATTTCTCAGTTGCTTTAGTGAATCTATTTCTACTTTTTTTAAACTTTCTGATTTGTTTTAGGCAAAACTCAAATCTCCAGGAGATCTTACAAAAGGATAACAGATGCAACAAGCATCTGAGTTTAATCAATGATCCAGTGCTTACTTGGCAGTATCTCTGTTGCTAAGTTCCACAGGAGGAGGAAGCTGTTTGCTTTTGTATATGCGGAGATTGTTAAAGTTTCTCACTGTTGACGTTTGCATGACTAAAACGGTTTAGAGTTCATACTAACAAGCTTTTACCAGGGGAAGAAAAGATCCACGTATGGGTATTTAGACTCAGCTCAGTACAAATAAACTGATAGTTAACTGTGAAGATGTTAGGCATGTACATTTTGGAACATACATTTGCCTAAAGTCATGTAAAAATATGGGAAGCCCAATAAACAAGTTTTCTGTATTGTCAGTATGGAGTAGTCGTGTGTTGTCGATCACAATATTTGAAGTATCAAGTTAGAAATATCCCTCTTCCAGCTGCCAACTGTAATTAGAATCAAGTACGGCTGGACATTATATATATGTGTATATATATATATATATATATATATATATATATATATATATATATATACAGTGCTAACCCTAATTAATCATAGCCCTGGCAAATTTTGACTTAAAGTTACTTTTATTCAACCAGCAAGTATTTTTCTGATGGAAAATAACATAAGTATCTCCCAAAAGATATTAAGACGATGTAGTATAAGCGGCATTAGAAGAAGAAAAGATCTTTTCTATAGCGCCTCTCAAGATAAAAATCACGAGGCGCTTCAAAAAAACAAAAAATTTCAAATATAAAAAAGAATTTAGAAAATGATTAAAAATATGTTTAAAATTAGCAAAAGTAGACAATTGTGATTAAAAAACAAAATGTTATGAAAGAGAGAGAGTGAGTAGGAAAGAAGGAAATCAGTGGATCCTGAGGAAGGTGGAATAGGTGGGGAGAGCAGAATAAAGAGAGAGTGGTGAAGAAGGTCATCCAAAAGCCAGCTTGAACAAGTGAGTCTTCAGCTGCTTTTTAAAGGAGACCACTGAGTCCACTGATCTCAGGCTCAGGGGGAGAGAGTTCCAGAGTCTGGGGGCCACAGCAGCAAATGATCTGTCACCTTTGGTCTTTAGCCTGGTGCTGCACAACCAGTAGGCTTTGATCACTGGACCTCAGGGACCTGCTGGGTGTGTAAGGACCAAGAAGATCACCAATGTAAGATGGTGCTTGTCCATGTAGGGCCCTATAGACCAGAACCAGGATCTTGAAATGAACCCTGAAGTTGACTGGCAGCCAGTGAAGCTGGAGGAGAAGCGGGGTGATGTGGGTGTGTTTGGAGGACTTGGTCAGAAGCCGAGCACAGGCATTCTGAACCACCTGTAGACGGTTCAGGGAGGTTCTGCTCAGACACGTGAAAAGAGAGTTACAGTAGTCTAACCCCTTCTTCCCACAGGAGCCGTCAGCAGCACGTTACTGCAGCAGCACGTCATAGCTGCTGATAGGAACCGCTGTGGTCAACAGAACTTTTTCCACCGGAGCCGTCAGCAGCGTGAGTCGGCCGCGTCTCAAGAGCAGCATATTACGGCCCTTAAGCGCCGGACCTATTTTCTACGCGCAACGCCTCTGAAACGGGTCAAGTTCGACATTTTTGGGGAAGGAAAGACAGGAAATCGGACGCGGAAATGGAGCGAAGCTCCCGAGATTTTCAGAATAAAGAAATGTACTGCCTTCCGGTTGCTTTACTTTAAAAAAAAGTCACTAACTGTGTGGCCCCGTGAGAAGTTATCACCTAGCGGTCTCCTTTGTTTTTCAGGTCCGTATTGGCGATTATAAAATGGACAGAACATAAAACACAAACCTTTTGGAGCCATGTTGAAATTTTCTCCTGCTTGTTGTTGTGTTTACTGACGAAGTCACTCGTGTGACTTCGTGCTCTGTCGGTGACAGCTGCTCCCCTGCTGCTTCGCATCTCGTGGGAAGGGCCAAGACGTGCTGCTGCAGTAACGTGCTGCTGACGGCTCAGGTGGAAAGAAGGGGTAAGCGTGAGGAGATGAAGGTGTGGATAACTGTCTCAAGTGCAGAGTGGGACAGAATGGGATTCAGTTTAGCAATGTTCCTGAGATGGAAGAAGGAAGAGCGAACAAGAGAACCGACATGAGAATCCAGGGTGAGAGCTGGGTCATGGAAATTAAAACATTTCTCAGCTTTTATTTACATTTGAACAAAAAGTGTCCAATCCAAAATCCTTCATATCCTTCTCAAAGTCTGTAGGGAAATCCCAAGTCCTATACCATTCCAAATAGTCCAAGCTGTTCTAAAGCATCCAAATTATCCTACTTAATTGGGAACGGCTGTTTTAATCAACTCAACAGGTGAATAACAGCAGCTCTCTGCAGTGGGTTTGTGGACAGTAAAGGCTAAAGCCTGATTCATGCTTCTCCGTCTGCGTCAGTGCGGAAACAAGCAACGTCCTTGCGGGCCTGCCGGAGAGCTCCGCAAGGACATACGGAGTCAAGCTCTCTTTTCTAAACATCCGTCAGTCGAGACAGACAACGCAAACTTGTGATTGGTCAGGACGCCGCTGTTGTCTACAGCGCCGCCCTTGCGCCCTCAAAGACATAAAGAGAGCCGAGGATAACTAGCGGCAGACATGGAGAAGCTTGAAGAATACCTCGCGAAAAAACTCTAAAAACATGAACGTTTAATTCTCCGTGACTGGAGGAGTGAAAAGATGCGCAGCAAGCGTTTTATTTGTGGACGGAAATGACAGGAAACGTGGGTTTAGAGGTGGCTAGCGCATGAAGAGGTGGAGAATGAGAGACACATTTGTCTGTGTTAAAAAGTCTCTTAAATACACAAAACACACAATATAAACACACGATCTTGGACCGATACATGACAGGTTACCACAGAACAGCGCTACGCCCTCTGTGGTCCTGCTGGGGAATTGCTTTGCAACACTCTCCAGGAGACGAAGTATGAGAGCAAAACGCTTCCGTCAATCCGTGTGTGTCTGTCCCTTGCGGAGCTGACGGAGAAGCATAAACCAGGCTTCAGACAAAGGAGTTCAGTGAGGACCTGCAGCTGTGCATTGTGCCTGCTCACAGGTCAGGAAAGGGCTACAAGGTCATTTCTAAATGTTTTCAAGTTCCAGTGGCTACAGCGCATAGTATTATTAAAAAATACAAGATGTTCCACACACTGTGGAAAATCTCAGAGGACGTGGTCAGAAGCTAAAAGTGACACCTGTGCTGGCCAGGAGGACAGAGAGAGGTGAAAAAGAACCCAAGGATCACCACCAAGGCCATCCTGGTGAATGTGGGCTTTGCTGGTGGCAATGTCTCAGGGCAGACAATCCAATGGGCCATTTCCATCTGTACCGGGTCGGCCCGGGCCGGGTAGCGTAGGTTGTTTACATATCTGGGTGGCCTGGTTTTTTCCGGGCCAACCAAGGCTCATTCTCAGCCCTCTTCTCGAGGGGGTCTGCTTCAGGCCGACCAGGGCCAACACACCCACTGCTGACAGCAAAATCACACCTTCCATTAGAGCAAGCCTCTGATTGGTGGGTAGAATCAGCCCGCATGGGCTTAAGACAAGGATGTGTGGAATCAACCAGGCCAGGCTGGGGCCGACTGGGGCTACCCGGCCCAGGCCGACCCGGTACAGATGGGAATGGCCCATTACAGATCTGCACACTGCTGGGTTCCACAGACGCAGACAGAGGAGGACGCCGCTTCTATAGATAAGGCACATGAAAGCTCACTTGGCCTTTGCAAATGCTCATCTGAAGAAGACCTGTATTAGGGTCAGATGAAACAAAAATTTATGGTCACAATTTGGCATAAAAAAGAAGACTTGAACCCAAAGAACACTATCCCCACTGTCAAACATGGTGGAGAGAACATAATGCTTTGAGGGTGTTCTTCAGCCAATGAACCAGGGAAATGAATCTCAGTAAACAACACAAAGAAAAAAGAGCAACACATGAGGATTCTTAATGACAACATCAGGCAGTCTGCAGAGAAACTTGGCCTTGGGCACCAGTGGACATTTCAGCATGACAATGGCCCAAAACACACAGCAAAATTTGTGAGGAAATTGTTAGCAGAAAACCACATTAACATTTTGGATCGGCCTAGCGGCTGGGTGATGTGGCCTAAAATCAATATCACGATATATTGAAGATTTAACCTCGATAACGATAAATGGATAACTACAGGTATGCGCAGAAACAAAAGTTGTCCACTAGATGGGGCTGTCACGTGTATTATGTTGAGTCACATTTTTACGTGCCTCTAGGTAGTACAGCTTCTTAAAGGGACATAACCGTTGCCAACCTACACACATCTTTTCATTTTTTTATTATCAAATTTATTGACATGGGAAAAATTATCTCGATAAGAGTCAAAAATTTCGATAAAGATACATTTTCGAATTATTGCCCAGCCCTACGTCAGCCCTACGTGGCAAGACCACACAAACCACGTTAGACTCATTTTTTTTCCCAGGTGAAGAGTTAAAATTAATATCGGATTCTGCCAACAAAAAGGCTCTAAAACAATTCATATGTAAATATTTTGCATATTTATTGCAAAATATCTTTTCTGCTGCTTTAATGCTGCAACAACATTTTATTGTTAATAATAAATTATTATACCTTTTGTTTAACTACAGCATCGATACGCTTCCTGTGCACAGATTATTAAGGATGTTTGTTTCAGCTGTGAGATTAGACGATAGGGTCAATGATAAAAAAAAATAGTTTGTCACAGACTCCATGGAAACTTTCAGAGAATCCACAAATAGTGTCTTTCAGATGGTTTTGTTACTGACAGATTTTTGTGTTTAGAAAAGAAGCAGATGAGACGGCGGGCCTGACAATTTTGTTTTTTTGTTGGACAATATTAGAACATGTCAGTGATGTCTGAGGTGTTTTTACAAACACTGTATAATTAACATTCCTGGACAGGGTAGGAATTGCACAGATGGGGGGTGTTCCATTTTGCTTTGGCCCTCAAAATGCCTTGAGACGGCCCTGGGTGTGTGACAGTTTTGAAGGTGATCTGAATTGTATCAAATGTATAAATATTACACGTGTATAACTTACGTTATACAGGTAAAAACATGTAGTGGAGATAAAGCTACCTTTTACTTTTCAGCACTTAGTTTTGTTCTCTTGTTTTTTATTGAACTATTTTCCTGTCCTGTCTGTCTCTCATCTTCCTGCATCTCCTCTAAACTCTCCAGAAAAACTGCTGCCTGGATTCTTACTTTTTCACCTCATCAGTTACTTTTGAGCAGGTCAAAGAGATCTCCTGACCGCAAAGCGGAGTGCGCGTTTCGATGCTGCGTCAGTGAGGTGAAATCACCGCAGCACACGATGAGCAGAGCGCGTCAGGAACGATTAAAAGACAGAATACCAGAGGATATAAACTAGTGGTGTGCATCTCTACCTGCCTCACGATTCGATCCGATTCCGATTATCTGCCTAACAATTCGA